GACACTGTTTTTGGCAGTGCAAATTAGTTCAACCATTGTGGAAGACAATGTGGGGATTCCTCAAGGATCTAGAAATAGAAATACCATTTGACCCAGCAATCTCATTACTGGGTATATACCCAAAGGATTATAGATCATTCTATTATAAAGACACATGCACACATATGTTCATTGCCACACTGTTTACAATAGCAAGGACTTAGAACCAACCCAAATGCCCATCAATGATGACTGGATAAAGAAAATGTGGCACATAAGCACCAGGGAATACTATGCAGCCAAAAGAAATGATGAGCTCACATCCTTTGCAGGGACATGGATGAAGCTGGAAACCATCAGTCTCAGCAAACTGACAGAACAGAAAAACAAACACCGCCTATTCTCACTCATAAGTGAGTGTTGAACAATGAGAACACATGGACATAGGGAGGGGAGCATCACACACTTGGGCCTGTTGGAGTGTGGCAGAGCTAGAGAAGTTATAGCGGGGGTGAGGGATTAGAGAGGAGAAATACCTAATGTAGATGATGGGGGGATGGAGGCAGCAAACCACCAAGGCATGTGTATACCTATGTAACAATCCTGCACGATCTGCACATATACCTCAGAACTTAAAGTATAATAAAATAAATAAATAAAGGAATGTGTGTAATATAGATACTGTTTGAAATTATTTTGTACTTTATAAAATATACATAAACATAATTTTAAAGGAATGAATTATTTAAAAATTATATATCAAAAGTGTCCTTCTCTGCCTGATGGATGATTCTACGTGGTACCTGGATTTTATAAAATCCACATTGGAGACTATTTGATTAAAGGAATTATTAAAAACCAATATTTCTTAATTGCCAAAAGGCAACACATTTAAATTACGAATTAGCTATGCTTTCTGCAAATCAAGAAAATATTTATGAATTTGTATGGGTTTACTCTTTAAATAAATCCCACATTTAACTTATCTCACATTTAAACTTATTAAGAATTTGTACTTTCTTAAACACAGGACTTAGGTTAGATCTTTATAAAAGCAGAATATTATTCCTTTTCTACTTAAAAGTTCAGGTCCTTTTAATTTATGTTCTAGTCTTTCAAAGAGTACAAAATGTATTTTCATGAAACATTAAAATCTATGTTCTTTTAATTTTGAAATATACTCACAATATCAGATGTAAGAAACAAGAAACTACAAAAAAGTAGGCAGAAACCATAATGAGAACTGCAAATTTGCTTGCAAGTATCTGCAGTATTTCCATGTTTCAAGGGCCAAATAGAATTTAATTTGTTTTGTAAACCTGTAGTTTGAAGTAACGTGATTTCTTACACTGTACTGCATTGCAGCAGTAGTACGCTAAATGTTCTTTTAGGCGAAGTGCTTCAAATTGCGTCTTATCATTTATATTCTCATTCCTGGATTACTTTTAATCATGGCCTTTTCCTTAACTAAATTCCAGCCATTGTTCACGTTGTAGCACCAGACTTCCTTCTCTTTGAAGCCTTCTGAGATCACTTTTTTCAAAGGTGAGTCCTCAGTTTCCTGAACACATGGATTCCATTAAGTAAATATTCACCCCCAAAATTACTCATTATTGTCTTTTGGTATCACATATGGGGACTTCAGCAATATTTAGCTTTATATCACATGAGTGATTTAATTTCCTCTTGTATATTGTTATCTCAAGAACAGGTTGTCACTCTTTTCATTACTAAAAATTACTAATTTACAAGAACTAGTATTATCTCCTCATAGTAAGATTTCTTTCACTACTTGTTGATTGAATCAAAGTCATAGATATTTCAGCACGTGAAAGACTAAATGGCATCAGATGTGTATGAATTATTAAATTATTAAATATATGTAATAAAGAAATATGAATGTTTATAATCAACACAAAGAAATGGGTCATATATTAAGGAATGTAGATGTGAAATTGAAATATGAGAAAAAGCTAGACTGTCTCTGCTATTAAAACATATCATCAAAATAAAACTGTGTGTTCAAATAAGCCAGTATTATTTCTTCAGTCTAGTAATTATGTCTAGCTGTATAAATACTTTTCCTTCCAAATTACGTATTTTGTAATCTCCACTATCATTTTTGCTTCTTCCTAGACTTCTAAATCCCAATTCCTTAAAATCATTGCAAAATTTTTTTAAGAGCAGATATTTCTTAAACGATGAACAAAGCCTTAAAAAGGATCTGTATTAGATACTTAAGGCACTTTCAAGTGGAAATTATCTAGACATGCTTCTTCTATTACTTTATAAAGAAGAGACTTCCTGACATCCACATGGTAATGGGAATAGTCTACCTTGATCTGTCTGATGGCCATAGATATCAGGCTTTCATCTTTATTCCTTAGCAGCAGTCAAGAGAATACAAGTTTTCTTTAACAAGCCTTTTGTAAGCAGATAGAAAGGGTCTCCAGAGACTATAGGCATTTAAGCAACTTGCGTGACCAGTGTGTGTGTGTGTGTGTGTGTGTCTCTGTGTGTGTGTGTGTGTGTTTATTGTACTTTAAGTTCTGGGGTACATGTGCAGATCTTGTAGGACCAGTGTGTTTTACAACTCCCTGCCTTGCAGCCTTTTTCCCAAACTCTCTGCGGAAAGCAGTGACCTAGTCAGTTGGAATCAGCAACTGACAGACCCGGGCAACTTACAGATGAATTGCTACGGGCTTTCCTCATTACCATGCTAAAGTCTCCACTCTGGGAGGAGCTCCAGCTTCAAAACGTGTAGCCTGTGTGCTGGCGTAATCTCATCCTGAGTCTGAGCAACTGAAGCCCCACCTCTGCATGAAATCCTGCACGCTCTGCCTGCTCCATTGCCCCAGAGAACCCTCCTGTCACCTTCTCTCTGGGAGACACTGCTTCAAAGAATACCACAGGTGCTCTCCTTCCTTGCACCAAGTAATAAAACTATTGATCAAAACCTGCATTCTCCTGGAGAGTCATTTGGTACTTGCCAGATAAATAAACCCTGTCTTTTTTGGGGGGGGTGAGTAACAATTTGACTATATCATTTCCAGCAATGCAGTATCTTATTATGTAAAATGAGATTTAAACTTAGAATCAGGAGTTCCAAATTACGTGATGGCTCTATTTTTAAGTAACTACTTGGTATTTCACAAAACCTGTCAACTTCCTCTAAGGCAAAGTGACAGTTAGGCTAAATGACTTTAATTGTTTTTGTCCTCTTAAGTGTTCTCAGATGGTAAATTTCAGGTGAGCTCTTTAACTTCGGTTTATCTCCAGAGCAATTTGATCATCTTCAGAGCACCTTAGAGTTCTGTGTTCCTGCCAGAACTGAGGAACACACATGGATACCGTGGCCCAGTATTTTGAGACATTTTTACTCCCTACTAGAGAAAGAGTCTAAAATAGTATAGATTCTGAACAGGCTACTTACAAGAGAACAAAAAGCTACTACCTAAAAAGTCAGGGTAAGAAGATCACAGTATTATCATTATAAATGAATCTTCTGAATCTTAACAGATTTGAGAAATATCCCAAATCAATACATCAAAACAATTTTGTTTACAGAAAGGTCTTGTAAATTCCAGCCTCTGAAATCCAAAATAAATCATTTGTTAAAATAGCGTTTGGCCACAGTCCAGTCTCTCTCATATGAATCTCGTGTGTCCCATATGTATCTCATTCATACAAATATCCACTCGGTTTCAATGAGTGCCTTACTACCCAAGACATAAGGTTACATATTAAATAGAAGACTTACTACATTTAAAATTAAGTATGCAATTAAAACCAGAAATGATACAATTAAACTTTTAAATACAAAGCTTCTAGATCATTAATTCAATTTTTTAAAATGTATGAACCAATAAGTGCTAAGTTAAAAAGATGAATAATGTATACACTCTGATCTGATAGTATTCAGTATAGCACATGAGAAAGATTTGTAAACAAAAAACTGCATTGTAATTTGACAAGTGTTAGCACAGAAATATGTTTAAAATGTTATGCTTGAAGTATTAAGAGTAGAAACATAAGAACAGAAATATAAAAGCAATTTATTAGTTTTCTGAAAAACCTTATATTTACATCCTGAACTTTGTGTCAACTGTGGCAAATATTTTTAAATAGATACGTTTACAATTGCTTTAGAAGAAAATAAGGAGTTACTTTCCACAAATTCATGCAAGAATTGTAAACACATGACATTTCACTAAAAAGCAGTCTTCACAAGGTTAAGAACTGAAGTTTTCCTCTGGTTTGATTTTAACACTACCAGAGGTAATCCAGTTATGGTTGATTTTTGTTGGGTTATTTATATACAACAAAAAATGATTTAAAGCTTTTAAGCAAATGTAAAACATTTTTAAAATGCATGTATTAGCAATTTGCCTGAAGAATAAAAAAACAATGCTTTGAATGTCACGTATTTAGTTAAGAAAGAAACACAATGTTTCTCCCTAAGATGGAATGGTTATATTCCCTGGGGGCCCACGTCCATGCACTGTTGAACTGCACACTTGAACACTCTTTAACATCCTTGAAAGAGTAATGTGTCACTTTAACTCATGCTGAAATATGATGACAGCTCTACAGAGAATCTAAATTGCTGTGTATTAATACTTAAATCATATTGAATTACTTAAATAATATCAGAATCATAAAATCATAGAATTGTAGGGCTCAAAGGAAGCTTAGATGTCTTCTAATTTATTGCCATTTATATGAAAAGAATTCTTTCCCATACTTCCACTACCTGAAAAGTGCAGAGCTGTTGGAGAGGAGCATCTCAATTATATTCAATATGCTCCAGTCTTCCTAAAGAAAGAGTTAAAGCCTGAGGCTTTCCATGCCGTTAGGTTTTCTATCTTTGCAGAAGGAGAACATAACCTGGAAAGAAAAAAGCCCAGCCCGCACTCTCCATCTTCCATCAAAAGCAGAGTTTCCCCTATGTAATTTGGAGCCAAATTTTCCTGCTTATATTCTGTTTTCCCTGTTTGAAAAGTAGAAAGCTCTGTACTCACCTCCTCACAGGCGGTTCTGAAATCCATGTGCTATGGCACCGCAAAGGATGTCGTCTGAAAAGACACAGAAATGGTAAGCCATTAGGCACAGCACGGCATGTAAGAAAGAACACTAATATAGTGTAGGAAATCATGAAGTGGAACTCGTGGAAAATTGTGTTGACAATCACCTGGAAGGAACAAGGATATACTGAAGAGAGGGAAATGGAGAGATGACAAAAAGTCTTAATCCCCAGCCTTTTGGAAGTATAAACACCTGCCATTGTTCGGCGTGATGAAGAGTGTGCATTTCCAGGCACCTCTGCACCCCGTCAGCAGGTGTTCAGACTCCACATACCATCAGATCAACCTCTCCTCGCAGGCAATAGCTCATTCCCAACATGTATTGTGAAACCTGAGTTTGCAACTGGGAAAGAAACTTCAAAAAGAGTAATTAAAGGTTGTCTTTAATATGGTTATCTCATAAAAAAAGGTTGACTAATCTTTCTCTTTTTAATTAAAAAGCTACATGCATGAATAATTCTCTCTGGAACTTAAAATTTTATTCACAACAATATGATGTAAGGAAGCAAGCTATTTGTCAGAGTGAATAATATTAAGAATAATCAATGTATGAAATAGCTAAAACAGATTTCCTTGTGTTCACTATAATACCTAAACGATGAATGTAGATATAAATACACTTAAATGGTTTTTGTGAAATTATTCTGGAGTGTTTTGTTTTCAATACTTGATACACCTAACAAAACCAATGTTTGGCACAGAAAGTTAACACCAAGACACTTATAAAACAAAGCAATGCAGAGCCAAAATATAATGGCTAAGTAAAAGAGACTTCAAAGTAAAATAAATGATTGTTTCCAAAACAGAAGACTCTATACTGCTCAAAATTACTCCACCTCTCAGCCTTTGGAAGAGTGAACTATAGCATCCTTCTTTGACAATTCTTTTTAATTATATAAGATTGATGAATGTTTGATCAGGTTAAGTGCAATAAAACAGAGTAGGAATTATCACCATGCTGTCACTGAACTGATGGATTATTACTATTGACTTTGAAAGAACAGAGATTAGCCATCAACAGTAGTAACCAAACACATGGTATAATCTATTAAGTATTTTCCCTAGGTAAATCTTGTGAATTGTGGGTCTCATTAGTATTAAAGGATTTTTTATTACTATCTTAATTATGCTTCAAAATTGCTCTTAAAGATTTCATTTGAAGAAACTGTAAATATCTTCTTGTCTCTAACTCTCATGCAAAATTATTCTTTTATTACAAAAGAAGAAAACTTTTGACATGTATTGATTATATAAAAACAGGAGATGTCTGGAATTAATTTCTTGCTACTAAAAGCCAACCAGGGAAATAGATGTGACTATATTGAACCATCTAAACATAACCTCATATTTGTTTTATATGCTGAATTTAATTTTAATGCATACATTTAAAAATTTTAATTATTTCATAATATGGAACATTTGAGTGTGTCCTGTATCTATATCTTCTACCATTTTTAGCATATTTTCCTTTTTTAAAATTCTAATCTTTTTATTAAAACATTAGTTAATAATACCAGTTGTTAGTTCAGAAAAATAATTAATATATAATCACAGAGAATTCCTACATACTGTTAGATAAAATTCATAGGAGGTAACTGATTTAGATTGAGTTCCTACGTTAGGTTCTAACAGACTAAATCAAAATGAAGTTACTCATGCTAAAGCTTCACATCACCAAACTGAAAGCAAGTTGTTTATTTGACTTTCCAAAACATTGGGAGAGGGAATCATAGCCAAATATCCAAACAGGCCAATTTTAACTGGCATTAAAAGAAGTCCCCTCTGCTTTAACCCTAAAAGGAAAGTAACTTTGAAAGGACTAATCTATGTTTTGGCTTTTATCCTGCTTTCTTCAACCCTTTTCTGCATATAAATCCCATCTCCATGCTCAGTTGATCAGAAGACCTTGTCTAAATGTTTAAAGGAGATGCTTCCCTAACTCATGAATAACAACAAAAGCCAATCCAATTATTTAGCTACATTTGTTGTGATTTTCTCTTACGAGAGTTCTCCACTTACATTTTTCTCTACTGTAACCATCTTCTATTAGTATGTCACACTGATTACAATTACTGAAACGTTATTGATACATTATTACTATCTAAAGCGTAAACAGCATCCTAGTTCTTCCTAGTGTCTGCTTTCAGTTCTGGGATTGCTTCCAACGCACCTCATTATATTTAGTCCTCCTGTCTCCCCGGGCTCCTCTCCTCTTGGCTGTGACTGTTTCTCAGACTTTGGTTTTTTGAAAAGACCTTGGCACTGTTGAGGCATGCTGGTCAGGAATTTATAAGATACTCTTCCATTGAGATTATGCTGATGTTCGTTTTAATCATTATAGTGTGGTTATGGGTTTTGGGGGAAAGATCTCAGAAGTAAAGCGTCCTTTTCATTCCATTCAATCAAGGATACCTGCACACAATCTGACTTAACACCCTGAATGCTTGCTGACCTTATCATCTGCTGACACTGTGTTTGTCAGCTTTTTCTATTGCAAAGTTCCTTTTTTCTCTTCTCTCCACATGGTACTGGCTGGAGAGAGGTTGTTATGAGTAGCCCACACCTAAGGAATTGGAGGCTATGCTTCCTGTTCCTGAGGCTGCCCTATCTATATAAATTATTTGAGATTACTCTGCACAAGGAGACACATCTGTTCTCTACCATTTATTGATCGAGCCAATCATTTTCTTTAGACCCTGTCTTCTGACAGAGCAAAGAAATATCTGTGTGTATACTAACCTATGTTAGCATGCACATATCCACAGACATTTCCATATAGACCATCTTCATCTTTATCAAGGTAAACAAGAGTTATTAGTGATGCTCCACCTCTAATACCAATGACAGGGGCTAGTCTTCTTTGTTTGCTTATCTGTAAATTTCTACTGTACGAGATTGATGAGTGCTTGTTTAGGTAAGTGTAGTAGAATAGGATGAGAGGTGTTACCATGTTGTTGCTGATAGATTATTACTACTTGCTGTGAAAGGAAATAGATTGGTCTTTTTCAGTAGAAACTGAACATGTCATACAATTGCTCGAGTATTTCCACTGGATAAGTCTCCAACAATGAGAAATCTAGTTTCCAATAATCAACCATTCATGTGCTCAGTTGTGCAATCCCAGTGTACATATACAACCATAAGAAATGCTAACCCATTTTTGGGAGTGTAAATTAGTTCAACCATTGTGGAAGGCAGTGTGGTGATTCCTCAAGGATCTAGAAATAGAAGTACCATTTGACCCAGCAATCCCATTACTGGGTATATACTCAAAGGATTATACATCATTCTATTATAAAGACACATGCATATGTCTGTTCATTGCTGCACTGTTTACAATAGCAAAGTCTTAGAACCAACCCAAATTCCCATCAATGATAGAGTGGATAGATAAAATGTGGCACATATTCACCATGGAATATTCTGCAGCCATAAAAAAGGATGAGGTCATGTCCTTTGCAGGGACATGGATGAAGCTGGAAACCATCAGTCTCAGCAAACTGACACAAGAACAGAAAAACCAAACACCCCATGTTCTCACTCATAAGTGGGTATTGAACAATGAGAACACATGGACACAGGGAGGGGAACAACACACACTGGGGTCTGTTGGGGGTTGGGGGAACTAGGGGAGGAATAGCAGGGGGTGGGGGATTGGGGAGGGATAACATTAGGAGACATACCTAATGAAGATGATGGGGGATGGAGGCAGTAAACCACCATGGCATGTGTATACCTATGTAACAGTCCTGCACGATCTGCACATGTACTCCAGAACTTAAAGTATATATAAAAAGAAAGAAATGCTAACCCACAGGCCTGTGAGAGACAACTTTATTAATTAGAGCATAGTTTACCTTACCTTTCATTATATAGACTGCGCTTATTATCAAAATTACTTACATCTATCCCAGCGATGAGTGGGGAGAAATGACCATATGCCAGTTTCTCTACAGGCCTCACAGGTATCCCGCACCCTCCTGCACTTCTGCCATTGCGTGAGAACAGTTTCCCCAAGAAGCTGCTGTCCTATTGGTCTGGCCTTAAAATGACACACACAGAGCCAAACTTCTGATATGACCCACAGAGTGCAAGGTGCGACCCAGCTACCTTCACATCCCTCCCAGGACAGAGCTGCCACAATCCCATTGCAGACCCCTGAATCAAATAAGTGCTCGATATTTGTGGTGGTGAGCTTTAGGTGCTACAGAGCCCAGCCATCTAATCAAACACTAATCTAGGCGGCGCTGTGAAGTTTCTTTGCAGATGACATACGTAATCAACTCACTTTAGCTAACGGAGACTATTCTCAATGATGTGGGTGGGTCTCAACAAATGTGTTGAAAAGCCTTAAAAGAAAGCATGAGGCTGGGCGCGGTGGCTCACGCCTGTAATCCAAGCACTTTGGAGGCCAAGGAGGGTGGATCACCTGACGTCCGGAGTTCAAGACCAGCCTGACCAACATGGTGAAACCCTGTCTTTAAAAAAAAAAAAAAAGCAACGATGAGTTTTCTCTGAAGAAAAAAATTCTCCCTCAAGACTGCATCATCAGCTTCTGCATGAGAATTTTCAGTCTGCTGTACTGATGTGGATTTTAGACTTGCTGGCCCCCTAGCCACTTTAGCCGCATACACATTGGTTCTGTTTCTCTGTAGAACCCTGACTGAAACAGACTTGAGTACCAACAGTGGTTTTAAAGGAACAGAATTCTAAGAATAAGTTTTTTGGGGGTTGGTTTTGGGTTTCAGGATTGATTCTGATATCTAACAGAATCTTAAAGATAACAGAATCTTTAGATTATTCTTAGAATAAGGCAGTAAAGACCCTATTTCCAGTATTATCAAGAACACTGGTAGTCCATAGCACAGAGAGCAATAGAGATACACACAATATCACCACTGAATACTCCTACTCAAGTACTATAAGGCAAAGTTCTGAGTGGCCAAGCATTTGATAACTTAGAACAAATAATGACAAATAATGAATGTGAT